CACCGCCCCTCCTGCTCCCCTTTAACCCTCCCCAGACCCACCCCCCAGCCTCACCTGCGCTCACCCACACCTCACCTGTGCACACCACGCCCGCGTCCTCGCCATGGCCACAGTCGTGCTCGCCCCAGGTGTGCAGCTGGCACTGCGCCAGCTCCTGCTCCCTACCTGTGCAGTGGGCACCATCCAGCCAGATGGGATCTGCCCCCTGGCCAAAGTGGGCATGGCCGGGCGCGGCCAGGGCGTGGCCGCAGCCCAGCTGGCGGCAGATCACCTGCGCGTCCTGCAGGTCCCAGGTGTCATCGCAGACCGTGCCCCACTTGTGCTCATGGAACAGCTCCACCCGGCCCGCGCAGGTGCTGGAGCCGTTGGCCAGGCGCACCTGCAGCCGCGGCACCGCCTCTGCACCTACAGGAGGGAGGTAGGACAGGTGTGGCGCATCTGGGCCGGAGCTCCAGGTGCAGCTGGGGCACAGCTTTGGCGGGAAAAGGAGTTCTGGGGCCGGCAGGTGAGTGCTGGGAGGGGTTTGGGGGATCAGCAGGTGGCTCCGAGCGGGTCTTGGCTGCAGGTGTGGGTCCAGGTGGGTTCGGGTCAGTGGTGGGGTGGAGGAAGGTGTTGTGGGGCCGACAGGTAAGGCTGGGAGGGTCCTGGGGCCAAGAGGTGACTGTGAGATGGTTTGGGGGTCAACAGGGGAATCTGGGGCTGTCCTGGGGTTGAGAGGTGAGTCTGTGACAGTTTTGGGGTCAACAGGTGAGTTTTGCAGGGTCCTGGGCTCGGATGTGGCCACAGGTAGGTCTAACCAGGTAACTCTCCCCCCCCACCCCTACCTGAGCCCCCCGCCCACCCCTACCTGAGCCCCACCCGCCTCACCTGCGCAGACCACGCCCACGTCGGCGCTGTGCTCACACCTGGCCTCTCCCCATCGCCCCACCTGGCACTCGCCCAGGTGGCCCTCGGTGCCCGTGCAGGTGACCCGGTCCAGCCACACTGGCCCCTCCCCCTGCCCGAAATGGGCCTCACCCAGCGCCGACAGGGCGGGGCCGCAGCCCACCTGGCGACAGACCACCTCAGCCTCAGCCAGGCCCCAGATGTGGCCACAGAGTGTCCCCCACCTGCTCAGGTGAAGCACCTCCACGCGCCCCGCGCAGGGCCCGGGGCCACCCGCCAGGCGTAGCGGGACAGGTGAGGGCGGGGCCAGGGCGAGACCTGCATGGGCAAGGAGAGAACAAAGGCAGAGTCAGGACAGGTGTGTGGGGAGGGGCAGGTGTGTTTCCGGTGTGATCCTGAAGTCCAGGTGTGACCCCAATGTCCAGGTGTTCCCCATGTCAAGGTGTGGCCCCACCTCACCTGTCCTACCCCACCTGTCCCCCCCCAGGTGTGTCCCCCCTACTCACCACTCAGGGACAGGTAGAGGAGCAGGCCCAGGTGGCTCTGAAGGTAAAGGAGCCTCATGTCGGGCATGCACACCTGGGCACAGGTGAGCTCCCAGTGGGGGCTGGGGTGGGCACAGGTGTGGCCTGCACAAGTGAGAAGGTGTGTCCTGCACAGGTGAGAAGGTGTGTCCTGCATGGGTGAGAAGGCATGTCCTGGACAGATGAGTGTCCCCCCAACACCTGAGACCCTCCAGACACACCAGGGGACGCCCAGACCTGAGCTCCCCCCCCCCCCCCCAGCAGTTTAGGGACCCCCAGACACACCTGAGCCCCTCCCCAGCGGTTTCAGGGACCCCCAGACATACCTGAGCCCCCCTAGGTGGGATTTACCTGCCCCCCCGAAGCAGGTGCAGCCCCCTCAGGTGCCTCCTCCACGTGCCGTGGGTGGGGGAGGGGGAACCTCTGAACCCTCCTGGACTGGTCCTGGGGTTTTTTCTCGGAAAAAGTCGCTGATGCAACTGCGGGGTCACCAGAGGGAGGAGAGGGGGGTGGGGTCACCTGGACACCTGGCGCAGGTCCAGGTGGGGAGGGGCCATCCCAGTTGGATGCCGGGACTCCTCCCCTCCCCCCCGCCCAGGATCAGCTCACCTGGGCCAGGATGGGGGGCTCAGGTGGGCATCGGACCCTCCCTAGGGGGCAGGTCCTCACCTGGAGAGGGGGAGCACTGCGGACCCTCCTGGCCGTGACATACCTGTGCGGTGAGTGACATCACGGGGGTCGGGGGTGGGGGGTGGGGACCAAAATTGCGGGGTTTTGGCCCAAAATTGAAAGATTTTGACCTAAAATTGAAGGAGTCTGACCTAAAATGGAAGGGTTTGACCCAAAATCAATGGATTTTACGTCAAAATTGACATATTTTGACCCAAAATTGACATTTTGCCCCATGTGAAAGAATTTTGCTCCAAAATCGGCATCCTTTGCCCCAAATCAATGAATTTTACCCACAAATTGAGATATTTTGACCCCAAATCAATGGATTTTGCCACAAAAACAAACTCTTTTGCACAGAAGTTGGTGGATTTTGCCCCCACATCATCTTTTTTCCCAAAAATCATTTTTCCCCCAAATATGGCTTCTTTTGCCCCAAAATCGAGGGGCTGTACCCCGAAATCAACATATTTTACCATGAAATTGACTTTTCTTGCCCTAAATTTGCCAAGTTTCCCCCGAAACCAACATTCCTCCCTTTTCCTGTGGTAAAAACCTGCAAATACTGTGATTTTCCACCATTTCTTCCTGTTTTTTTTTTCTTCCCGAGAATTTCCGGGCCCACAGCCAAATTCTCCCTTTTGGGCCCCACATCGATTTTTTGGGGGCAAAAGTCGCAATTTTTGGGTGGTTTCGGTTTGTTTGAGGACCCAGCTGAAGTCATGTGATTTCCCAACCCTGGGACCTTCAACTGCAGCAGTTTTTCCCCATTTTCCCAAGTCTTCCCAAGTTTTCCACATTAGTCTCCGCTTCCCCTTACTTGTCCCAGATGTGTCCCCCTCCCCCAGGGGATTTCCCTTCATCTCCCAGGGGCTCCCAAGCTCACCTGTTCCCTTTATCTGTCCCAGGTGTGTCCCCGTCCCCCCCGGAGGTCTCGGTGCGACTCCAGGGGGGTCCCGACAGCTGCTCAGGGCGAGTGGAGGTGCTGCACAACCTCACCTGGGGCACAGTGTGCGACGACGGCTGGGGCGTGGCCGAGGGCGAGGTCACCTGCGCCCAGGTGGGCTGCGGGCGGCTGCGGGCACTGGCCCCCGGCGCCAAGTATGGCGAGGGCGAGGGGCCCATCTGGCTGGACGAGGTGAAGTGCGTGGGGCACGAGCGGCACCTGGGGCAGTGCCGGGCGCGGCCCTGGGGACACCACAACTGCGGCCACGGAGAGGATGTGGGCGTTGAGTGCACAGGTGAGGGGCTGTCCGCCAACGCTGGCCTCTTCCCGGCCTTTTCTTCGCTTTTCCCCATTTTTCCTCAATTTTCCTGGATTTCCCCTCATTTTTCCCCAATTTTCCCTGATTTTTTTCTTGATTTTCCCCCATATCCCCCCATTTTCCCCTTTTCCCTAATTTTCCCTGATTCCCCGATTTCCTTCGATTTTCTTCCTTTCCCCCCTTTTTCCCCTATTCCCCCAATTTTTTTTCCAATTTTCCCCTTCCCCATTTTTCCAAATTTTCCCATTTTCTTCCGGTTTTTCCCTAGTTTTCCCTGATACACCCTCATTTTCCTCAGTTTCCCTCCTGCCTCACCTGTCTTACCTGTTCTACTTGTCCAGGACACTTTTCCCCCATTTCTCCCCTTTTCCCGCCAAATTTTCCCCCCTCACCTGCCTCACTTGTCCCACCTGTCCCCCCCAGACTCGATGACGTCATCACTGGGCTCGCTGCAGCTGCGGGAGGGCCCCGATCGCTGCTCAGGGCGGGTGGAGCTGCTGCACCTGCACAGGTGGGGCACGGTCTGCGACGATGGCTGGGATCTGCGGGATGCACAGGTGATCTGCCGCCACCTGGGCTGCGGCCATGCCCTGGCTGCGCCCGGCCGTGCCCACTTTGGGCGGGGCCACGACATCATCTGGCTGGATGAGGTGAACTGCACTGGGACAGAGAATTCTATCCTGGAATGTCCCGCCAAGCCCTGGGGGGACAACAACTGCTTCCATGGGGAGGATGCTGGCGTCATCTGCTCAGGTGAGCTCACCTGGGGACAGCTGGGACACTTGGAGACACACCTGGGAACACACCCGGGACACCTGGGGATACCTGGGAACATCTGGAGACACCTGGGCACACCTGGGAACATACCTGGGGATTTCTGGGACACACCTGGGGCACACCTGGCTCAGGTGTGCAACCACAGAACCGCATCCCACTGGGGTTGGGGACTTACCTGTGATCACCCCTGGTTGCCCCCCCCACCCCCTGCCTCCCCCAGCCCCTCCAGGTGAGAACACCTGTGTCATTGCAGCCTCCGGGATGGCGGTGCCCACTCAGGTGCGCTTGGCCAACAGCTCCGCCCGCTGCCAGGGGCAGGTGCAGGTGTCCTACGGGGGCACCTGGGTGGCCCTGTGTGACCACGGGTGGGGCCTGGCCGAGGCCCAGGTGGTCTGCAGGCAGGTGGGCTGCGGCCATGCCCTCTCTGCACCTGGAGGCTCCTGGTTCGGGCAGGAGCAGGTGAAGGTGTGGCCGGGGAGTGTCACCTGCACTGGGACAGAGCAGGAGCTCCTGGACTGCCAGGTGAAGCCCTGGGAGAACCGCACCTGCCACCTGGGCAGGGCGGCAGGCGTGATCTGCGCAGGTGAGTGGCATATTGTGGGGGGTCACACCTGGAGGGGCTCACCTGGGGTTTCCACCGGGTTTTGGGGGATGGGAGGGGGTTAGGGCGCTCACTTTGGGCACCTAAGGTGGCCACATGTTGGGGGGGTGGGGGCTGAGGGTGGAGTCTGGGTGGGTTTGGGTTGGTTGGAGGCACCTGAAGCACCTGAGGAGGTGCCAGGGAAGTACTTGAGAAGGTGCTGAGGAACACACCTCGTCAAGACTCAGCATCTGAGAAGGTGCCAGGGCAGCACCTGGACAAGTACCAGGGTGCTCCAGGTGTGTCTCCACCCTCTGCCTTCCCACTTGTCTGTCCGTCCCCCCCTCCCCACAGGTAACCCCGAGGCTGACCAGGTGCGCCTGGTGAGCTCTGGCAGTCGCTGCGCTGGGAGGGTCGAGGTGTTCCACAACGGCAGGTGGGGCACGGTCTGCGACGACACCTGGGATCTGGCGGATGCCCAGGTGAGTCCTGGGGAGGGGCAGGTGCGGCTGGGGAGCCTCAGGTGGGTCATGGGGAGGCTCAGGTGGATCCTGAGGATACTCAGGTGTGTTCTGGTGGTCTCTGGGGACACTCAGATGTGTCCTGGGCCTGCCCAGGTGGTCTGTCGCCAGGTGGGCTGCGGGAAGGCCCTCTCAGCACCTGGGAGGGCCCAATTTGGGCGGGGCAGCGGCTTCATCTGGTTGGACGAGACCAACTGCACGGGGGCGGAGCCTCACCTGTCCGCCTGCCCCGCCCGGCCCTGGGGCCGCAATGACTGCTACCACGGTGAGGACGCAGGTGTGGTGTGCTCAGGTGAGCTCTGGGACAAGTGAGGGGGGTGGCAGGACTCCCAGGTAACTCTCTATATCCTTCCCACCCCACCTGTGCCAGGTGAGCTCGGGGGACAGGTGAGAGGGGGTATTGGGACCCCTGGGTAACTCTGTGGCCAGTGGGGGTTACCTGGAGCTCATTTGTGCCAAGTGGTCCCATCCAAGGGGGATCTTCCCAGCCCCAGGTTTTGGAAAACGTTCCTAGAGGTGTTCCAGCATCCCACCCCACCTGGACACTCTAGGTGCTCCTGGGAGGTTCTTTCAGGTGTTCCCAAAATCCCACCTCACCTGAACCTTCCAGGTGCTCCAGGTAGGGGGGTTTTGGGCCTCACCCAGGTGTTCCCCCCCACCTTCCCCAGGTAGAAGAGGGGTTGGGGACAACATAGAGCTCACCTGTGAGGGGGGTTACCCGAGCTCCCTCCTCACTCAGGTGTCTTTCCAGACTCCCTGATCCCGGAGGCGCCTCACCTACGCTTGGCCAATGGCTCCCACCGCTGCGCCGGGCGGGTGGAGGTGCTGCACCTGGACAAGTGGGGCGGGGTCTGCGCCAGGGGCTGGTCCCAAGAGGCTGCCCAGGTTGTCTGTCGGTACCTGGGCTGCGGCACTGCCCTGCGAGAGGCAGAGTTTGGCACACCTGGGCAGGTGTGGCTCGACCAGGTGAGGTGCCAAGGGACAGAGAAGAACCTCGGGGAGTGTCAGACAAGCCCGTGGGCCCAGAGCAGCTGTGAGGGCGGGAAAGTCGCAGGTGTGGTGTGCTCAGGTGAGGCTTGGGGTGCCCAGGCAGGCAGGACAGGTGATTCCCCCTGCCAGGTACCACCCTCCCCTTGCAGGTAACCCAGGTGTGCCCCCCCCGCCTCCCCTACCGCAGGTTGGGAGCCGGCGGGCAGTGCTCAGGTGCGCCTGGCGGGCGGGCCAGGTGAGTGCGCAGGACGGGTCGAGGTGCTCCATGCCGGTGCCTGGGGGACGGTCTGCGACGACACCTGGGACTTTGCCGCCGCTGCTGTCGTATGCCGCTACCTGGGCTGCGGGCAGGTGATCTCGGCCCCACCCCGGGCACGCTTCGGGGAGGGGCAGGGCCCCATCTGGCTGGATGGGCTCACCTGCCAGGGCCACGAGGGGCACCTGGGTGAGTGTCACCACAAGGGCTGGGGCATCCACGGCTGCGAGCACAGTGAGGACGCCAGCGTGGTGTGCGCAGGTGAGGGAGAGGTAGGGGCAGGCAAGGGGCAGGTGAGCGCCAGTTGGGTGCAGGTGAGTGTCAGGTGCCCCAACCCCCCTCACCTGGCCCCAACTCCCCTCACCTGCAGGCTCTCACCTGGCCGACCTGACCCACTTGCGTTTGGCTGATGGCGCTGACAAGTGTTCGGGGCGGGTGCAGGTGCTCCACACCGGGCGCTGGGGTGGGGTCTGCGCCCACACCTGGAACATGGCAGCTGCCCGCGTGGTCTGTGCCCAGGTGGGCTGCGGGGGGGCAGCTGCCGTGGCCCAGGTGAGACCGGGCGAGGGTGAGCCCACCTGGCTGGAGGCCATTACCTGCCGGGGTGACGAGGGGGCCCTCCTGGAGTGCCAGGTGAGAGGCTGGGGGGGGCCCCGCACCTGTGTCCACGGGGGACACGCCCACGTCACCTGTACAGGTGAGTTTGTTGGGGGGGCCACAACCACCTACCACAGAGACCCAAAGACACCCCAAAATCCTCCAGAGACCCCAAATGTCCCATAATGTCCCCAAACCTCCCCAGAGACCCCCCAGCACCCCAAAAACACCCCAAAAATGCCAGGTAGTCACAGAGGCAGGTGAACACCTTGGAAGGGGACACCATTGTGGCCAGGTAAGCACACGTGGCTGTATCTCCTGTTTTCCAGGTGTGACCCAGGGGCACTCTGGTAAGCCTGGAAGCTCAGGTGAGCCTGGTCACCCAGGTGAGCCAGGTCAGACACGTGAGCCAGGTCTCGCAGGCAAGCCAGGTGAACCTGGAAACTCAGGTGAGCTCCGCCTGGCTGACGGCCCCCACCACTGCTCAGGGCGTGTCGAGGTTCTCCACAACCACACCTGGGGCACCATCTGCGGCCACACCTGGAGCCTGGAGGCCGCCCAGGTGGTCTGCCGTCACCTGGGCTGTGGCCACGCCGTCAGCACACCTGGGGCTGCCCGTTTCGGGGCAGGGCCCGGCCCCGTCTGGCTGGACGGGCTCAAGTGCGTTGGCAACGAAACGAACATCGCACAGTGCCCAGGCATCACCTGGGGGCCGCACACCTGTGACCACCTGGAGCACGCTGGGGTCGTGTGCTCAGGTAACCCCCCCCAGGGGACTCCCAGGTGACGCCTCACCTTGGGTTCTACTTGGGTAGGTGAAAGTGGGGGCGTGGGGGCAACCACAGGTGGTTTGGCCTCAGGGGCACGAGGGAATGTCTCAGCTGGGCTCACCTGGGACCACCCTCAGGTGCACCTGAGAAGCACCTTTGTGGGCCCAATTCGGGGACAAATCCCACCTGGAAGAGCTGGGTGGGCACAGGTGAGGGAGATCCCGAGGGAATATTGGGAAAGACCCTTTAGCACCTGCCCACAGGTGAGCACAGGTGTGGCCTCACCTGGACCACCTGTGCTGGAAGAGGGAGGCAGAAAAAGCATCCAGGTGTGTGCAGGTCCCCTCTAACCCCCCTTTCCACCTGTGCACGTGCTCCCCCAGCAGGTAACTCCAGCTCAGGTGAGGTGAGGTTGGTGGAGGGGCCTCACCTGTGCATGGGACGTGTCGAGGTGCTCCACAACGGCCTATGGGGGACGGTCTGTGATGACAGCTGGGACCTGAGGGAGGCTCAGGTGTGTCCTGGGCATGTTCAAGTGTCCTGGGTGACACTCAGGTGTGCCCAGGTGTGCCATGGGTGACACTCAGGTGTATCCCTGGGCGTGCCCAGGTGGTCTGTCGCCAGTTGGGCTGTGGGGAGGCCCAGGCCGCCCACGGCCATGCCCACTTTGGGCGGGGGGCAGGGCCCATCTGGCTGGACGACGTCACCTGCATGGGAGATGAGACGCACCTGGCGCAGTGCCACGCCCGGCCCTGGGGGAGGAACAACTGCCACCACGGAGAGGACGCAGGTGTGGTGTGCTCAGGTGAGCCCATGTGTGCTCAGGTGAGCTCAGGGGGATCAGGTGGGTCCAGGTGTGCTCAGGTAACCTCCACACCAACCCTACCTTCCCACCCCACCTCTTACATTCTCCCCAGGTAACCCCCTCCCCGCCTCACCTTTCCCTTCACCTTCCCGTTACCTGCCCAGGTGCCAATGTGACAGAGGAGCAGCCCCAGGTTCGCCTGGTGGGCGGCCCCACCCCCTGTGCAGGGCGGGTGGAGGTGCTGCACGAGCACAGGTGGGGCACAGTCTGCGATGACAGTTGGGACCTACAGGACGCACGGGTCACCTGCCGCCAGGTGGGCTGCGGGGATGCTGTGGCTGCCCCCGGCCATGCCCACTTTGGGGAAGGGGCGGGGCCCATCCTGCTGGACCAAGTGGGCTGCACAGGTGAGGAAGACACCTTGGCCGAGTGCGACCTTGGCGCCTGGGGGGTTCACAACTGCAATCACGAGGAGGACGCAGGTGTGGTGTGCACAGGTGAGGGGCTGGGCTGGGAGGGGGGTGCTCAAGTGGGGCTGGGGAAGCTCAGGTGGGTTTGGTGGGGCTCAGGTGTGCTCAGGTGTGTGCCCCTCCCTCGCAGGTCCCACTCCTCTGCAGGTGCGGCTGCGGGACGGCCCCGGGCCTTGTGCGGGGCAGGTGCAGGTACTGCACAACCACACCTGGCTGGGCGTGTGTGGCCACACCTGGAGCTTGCTGGAGGCACAGGTGGTGTGCAGGGAGCTGGGCTGCGGCCCTGCCCTCAGCGCACCCGTCGGGGCTCACCAGGCCCCAGGGACGGTGCTGGAGGGTCTCACCTGTCGGGGCTCTGAGACGCTGCTCCTGGAGTGCCTGAGGGAGGGGGCAGGGCCGGGCACCTGCCACACAGGTGGGGCCGCAAGTGTGGTGTGCACCATGCCCAAAGGTGAGGCACAGGGCAGGGTGGGGAGAGGGGGGAAGGCGTCAAGGTGTGGGGGGATGGGTGTGACAGGTAGAACCAGGAGAGGTGTGAAGAGGTGGGACAGGTAGAGGTGTCACAGTGAGAAGGGTGGTGCCAGAAGAGGTGTAACAGGCAGAGGGGGAACAGGTAACACACCTACACAAGTAACTGGACTTGAATCCCCTAAATGCCCCCTTCCCCTCCCCCTTAATTCACCCCTCCCACACTTGGCACAGGTAAGACCAGGTTTGGGGGGTTCTCACCAGTCACACCCCCGCCAGGTGCGCCCCAAACCTGTGCACCCCTGGTGGCCCTGCTGGGGCTGATGACGTCACTCAGTGGGGTCCTGCTCTGGCTCACCTTGAGGACCAGCTGTCTGGGAGCAGCCCCAGGTAAAGGTGAGTCCCACCCCCCCCAAGGTGTGTCCCAGGTGTGTCCCAGATGTGATCAGGTGTTTCCCTTTCCCCCCACAGGTCACCTGGGGGCCATTTACCTGCCCAGGAGAGCCCCCTCCGAGGAGATGGAGACACTGCAGCTCATCAAGGATGATGCCCCCTGACCTCACCTGTCACCTGCTACCCCCCGAAACACACCTGGGGGAGCTCAGGTGTCCCCACATAAGGCAGGTGGGGGGGGGGCAAAGCAAGTGGGAAAATGAGGTGGAAATTAATAAAATTGAGGGTTTCAACCATCCCGGTGAGACAGGTGTGAATTTTGGGGGGGTCCTCACTTCTAGTGCGAAATCAGGTGAGACCATCAATGATGTCATTAATTACCCATCATTTAATTAATATATGCCCAGCCCAGGTGCACCCAGACTCCACCCCCAGTGCTACAGGTACCACCCAGGTGAGACAGGTGAGTCCCAGGTGTGCACAGGTGAGCCCCAAG